TGAAGTCACTAGTAATTAATATAACTCAAGATTTGAATTAATTAAATAGTAAACTATTAATCAAAGAAGACTATAGCTAAAATAAAGATATAAACTAAAATATGAAAATTAAATAACTAAATAAATAAAAAGGATATGACTTATTTATAATAGAGATCTTTTACTCTCAAAATAATAAAATAAAAAGTATAACTTATTTATAGTAGAGGTCTTCTACTCTCAAAATAATATCAAAAATTAAAAATTAATATAATATTATAATTCTAAAAATTCAAAATCAACTTTATATGATCAAAGAAATAAAATCAAATGAAAGAAAGAATACTAATATAATTAGATTAGAAAAGTAATCTTTAAAATTATATTTTCCAAATAATTCAATTCAAAATTATTTATTTCAAGCTGGGATAGCAGGTCCTTTGATATATTTTTCAGATATAAAAATTATTCTAGTATTATTAGCTAATACTATTTAATATACAAGATATATTTTAAAGTATTATAGTATAATTAATTATGAATAGGTTATGTCAAAGTATATTGAAAGATATTAAAATATATTAAAGAATATCAAAGTATATAAAAGAATATTAAAAGATATAGAAAGATGTAAAAAGATATTAAAAGATATAAAAAGATGTAAAAGAACGTGAGAGAATATCAAAAAATATTAAAGAATAAGGAAAAATATTTAAGATCATTATTTATGTGTAACTGTTCCATCAAAATTAAAAATAATCTTTCACTAAACTATTCTACTATGTACATAAATATCATATTACAAGATAATAAAAATATAGATTCCAAATATTAAATAAGATATAATATCAAAAATAGAAATATGATAATAAATATAGTAATAAATGATATAGAAAATAGGAATAATTATGAAATGAATAAAAATTATAAAAAAATATAGTTTTGCATAACTAGAAAAAGATTAAGAAATTAAGAAATTTTATATCACTATGGTAATAATATTATTAATCTAAATTAGTAATTATAAAATATATAATAATTATTATAATAATATATAAAATTTAATTAATTTAATATATAAATAATTAGTTATATATCTAATATGAAATTGATCTTTAAGAAAAATAATACAAAAGATAATCTATTATATAAATACTATAAAATAAAAATCTAATACTAAAAGAGATAATTCAATCAAAATTATTATATAAATAATAAATTTAATAATTTAATTATAATAATTATTAATATTTTTATTAATAATAATTAAAAATATAATATAAAATTTTTAAATTTTTAATATTTTAAAATATTATTTTTCTTCAGTTTTATTTTTTTAATTTAATATTTTAAAAAAATTCTTTAAATATTAATAAGAAACTAATAACTTTAATTTTTCTTTTCTTTTTATAATTTTATTTCTAATTTCTTAATAAATTCTTAATTATTATAATAAAAATTGATCTTTTTAATTATTTTATTAAGCTATTAATAGTTTATATAAAATTTAAATTTTTATTACTATTATTATCTGAAAGAAAAATAATTTTTTGTCAAAATATTCTTTCTTTCTTATTTAATTAATAGTTTTTCTTCAAATAATAAAATATTTATAGAAGTCTTTATAATAATTATAATATAACTATTAATTAGATTTTTATTTTAGAAAAGATAATATTAATTAGATTTTAAAAAATATAAGATTTTTTACTATAAAAAATATTATTTGAAACTAATATGATTAATAGAAATAGTTTATATAATTTAAAATCTTATTTGAGTCTGAAATATTTTTCAATAATCACTTAATTAATTATTTAAATAATATATTTAGTCTAATTACTTTTCTAATACTTATTACAAAGTAATATTTTTCTAAAATATATTAAATATAATGATATTATTTTAATTTACTAATTTATATTATCTTTATATAATCTTCTAATATTGAATTCTAATTATAGCTCTAAATGCTCAAATTATTGTTATCAATTCTATTAAGCTAAATAATTTGATGGAAATAAAAATATCAACTGCTTAATAAAAAAATATATAGAAATTACAAGTTTTTATAAACTGCTCTATTTAAAAGATTATTAATATTAAGTATCTTTTAAAAGAAAGTTCTGGAAAATTTATCACAATTATAATATGTGAAATTATAGAAAAAATAAATTTGAATAATCAAAAGAGATACAAAAAAGTTATATTTAAAGTTTGATATAAATCAATATTAAAATTCAAATATGAGATAAAAAATTCTAAAGTGTAAATATAATATTTATTTTCTAGTTAACTAAGTTCTTCAGTCTGCAGTCTTTTTGATATTAATTTTCTGCTAAAGTGAACTTTTGGTAATAATTCATTTATTAAATATATAAAAACAAAAAAATAACCACTTATTTTCTATCCTTCACATTATATAAATATCTCTCGTCAAGCTCATTCTTTTCCAGCATATTTATTATCATTTTAGTAATAAAAGCAAGCGTAACTTTTATACAAAGTGATAGATTTCCTCTTCCATCTTTCAGCTTTCTATTTTAAAGTTGCAAGTCAACTATTTTCCATATTGAAGTTCTGTAATCATATTGTTATGATTCTGCAGATAACAAAATCATTGTCTTCAATTTCAGTGTACATGTATAAACTAGTTTATACATAAAATTTCAAAGTATTTGTTATCTTAATTCAATAATCAAATCTAAATAATAATGTTATCGTTATCATTTGATTTGTTTTGTTGAAATAAATCACATTCATGTAGTATCAAAATCATTCAAATCTGTATTTAATTAATGCAATACCTAAACAAGCTTATAAGCTGAATTTGAGTATTTACTATATCACTAGACTTTACTGCTACTTTGACAAGACTCTAACACTTTAAGCAGGAAAATCATATTGTAGCGCAATTAAGTGCTGTCAATCGAGCACCAGGTAATCAATCGTTCTCGATTTTTACGCGTTTCCGAGCAATTTTGAAACTTGAAGAAGTAATAACGACATTGAAAAACAAGCTTAAGGTTTTTTAATGATCTTAAGGAAACTATCCGGCTTTAGTAAACGTTGTGGACCGCCAAGGTCCTGTATATGTGTTAGACGGTAACGAATTGAAACGTTGCAATATAATTTATATCGCAACGGGGTACTGCAAAGCTGCAAAGTTGATCATTATAGATCCTTCAATCTGTGAAAGAAGATTTTGGAAATGTTCTCATTGACGAAATAAATATGTAAAGAGATTGTTCTTGCAGGCGGTCTTGCTGAAGTGTCTCAAATTAGTGCATCGAAATAATGTTTGTTATGGAAGTTATAAAAAAATCGCGTAGGAAGACTTGACTAACAATAAATGTTTTTTATTTAATGATTCAGCATGTTATACGTTTTATTTTACATACAAATGGAATTCTATGAAGTTGTATTCTAACAATTGATACATTTAATAACGATAAATTATGACGGTTTTAAGCGAGTTTTATGTGAGATGGTACAACATTTGCAAATGAATCCAGTACATGTATATTGTTTTCAACAAGATGATGAATTCTCCCCCCCCCCCCCCGAAAGCTATCAAAGCGTTCACTTGGAACTATAAATACAAAAATGATACTAAGCTATGCTCAAATAAAACAAAAAATAAAGACTATAAATAAATTATACGCGTGCTACGTAAAATTTAGAATATAAACAAAAGTCCGTAATGGCTAAACTTAAAGTTGATTATTGTTGCCAGACCCATTTCCGTTTTGATCACCCTCATTTCCATTACCATTAACGACTCCATTGTACGAACCATTATTATTGTTACCGTTTTTAACTCCGTTCTTGTTGCCTTTGTTCTGATTACCATTCACGGAACCATTGTTGTTGCCTTTGTTTTTGTTTCCATTCTTGCTTCCGTTTTTGCTACCTTTATTTTGGTTTCCGTTTGCATTTCCGTTGCTGGATCCGACGTTATTGTCGCCATTATAGTCGCCGTTTAAGTGACCTTTGTTTTCATTGCCGTTGGCATTTCCATTGGCATTGCCTTTGTTATTATTGCCATTATGTTTTCCGTTTTTGTTGCCTTTGTTTTTGTTTCCGTTGGCGTTTCCATTGTTGGTTCCGTTGTTTGAGTTTCCGTTAAGGAAGCCGTTGTAGTTACCTTTGTTAACGTTTCCGTTGGCGTTTCCATTGTTGGTTCCATTGTTTAGGTTTCCGTTACCGACTCCGTTGGCAGTGCCATTGTTTAGGTTTCCATTCAAGTTGCCGTTTTGATCACCGACATTTTTATTTCCGTTGGCGATACCATTGGCGTCACCCTTGTTTTGGTTTCCGTTAGCATTGCCATTTTGGTTACCAACATTTTGGTTACCAACGCCATTACCATTGGCATTACCCTTGTTTTGGTTTCCGTTAGCATTACCATTTTGGTTACCAACATTCTTGTTGCCAGCACCATTTCCATTGGCGTTTCCTTTGTTTGCGTTTCCATTTGCATTTCCGTTTGAATCGCCAACATTTCCGTTTCCGGAACCATTTCCATTTCCAACTCCTGCGTTAGAGTTACCATTCTTGTTTCCGTTTTTGCTTCCTTTGTTGCCGTTACCATTGCCATTACCGTTTCCACTGGCACCATTTGCATGAAGGTTCTTCAAATCCATTCCGTAGAAGTTTCCATTGCCGCTTCCATTATTATCACCATCATCGTTGTTTCCGTTACTGTTTCCGTTTCCTTGGCAAACACCGAATCCATTGCAGTTTCCTAGACCGAGGATTTGGCCGTTATCATCACCGTTTCCTGTTCCGGTGCTATTGTTTCCGTTATCGTTACCGTTGTAATTACAGGTTCCGAAACCGTTGCAGTTGCCGATACCATCGACGTTGCCATTGTGGTCGCCGTTGCGTTTCTCTACGGGAAGTGCTTCAACTGAGATCAAGGCGAACAAGGCAAAGACTGCCAAGTATGTGAATTTGCGTGCCATTTTTAATGTATGTATGGAGGATGAAAAAGGGGTTTGATGTTTTAAATTCTAAGTGTGTTAGAAAGTATGTGTATGTGATTCTAAAGTTGAACGGAGAGGGAGTATGATATCTAGTATGTGATTGTGGGGTAAAGAATGAACAATTCTAATAAAGAGAATGTGTTCGAAGTGTGTTGAAGCACTTTTTGGTGGTGAGTGAGAGAGAAGAGGGAATTAAGGTATGGAGGATAAGATTTTTACAATGGCGTGAAAGCGAGCCATATTTATATCGTATGGACAAAGACATTGTTTATACATGATCAAATATTATACAGCAAAATTTATATTGTTTCCACATGGCTAATAGAAATTTGGTGGTACTTTTTCGAAAGAAGAAGCACAAAGAGTTGACAACGTAATGGACAATAAATTGATTCGTATCTTCCACATGGCAAAGAAAATTTCAATTATCAATTTCCAAATATGGAATTGCTAAAAATAAAATTAACTATTTAAACTTACTTCAATGATAATGTAGAGTTATTAGGTGCATTGCATATTAAAAATATACCTTTTTGGTTTAATGGGTTCAAAGAAAATATCGAAATGTTAGACCTGTTAAAAGGATAGTTTACACAGTCTCAGATGCTTAAATATCGACATGAATGCATGTACGATATTATAGGATACACATAATAAAAGAAAATAACCAATCATGTAAATTTCTTATTAACCGCAAACAAATTGTACATGTCATCGGCCGGTTTCTGTGCAGCTATACATGTAATTTAATTAATTTGTCGATCTAATGAATCAACGAACCGAAATTTTTTATTGGCTTAGGACTACCCTGTGATAGAAAATGCAAACAGAATAAACAGAATGAATATGTTAATTGCTTCTAGTACCTGTATACATGTACTATTAAAAGATGATGATCGGGTAAATTCCGAATAAGTAAACAAAAATTAATAAAGAATTTGCGCGCGATTATATGTGTTTGTTTGTTTTAATATTTTTGTTTGTAACATAATTTTTCTTCCGAGACAAAGTTTTTGAACATGCAAGTGATCTACAGTCATAGAACGGATTTTTTCAATTGAACTTAAAATTTTTTTATAATAATGTATCTATTGATATCAATATCTAGCCAATCAGCTCATTGTATTTGCGCATTTATAGGTATGATACTTTGTTGTTATCCATCTCATGTATAATAACAAATTGTCCGGTCCCACGAGACTGATATTAACGAGATCTAATGATAAGTAAAAACGAAAAGATTTGGTTTTGAGATACTGTACATGTATATCGATATGTAATGATAATCTCTAAAGAAAAGTGAATCTGCAAACTTGAATTTACATGAGAGCTATATCATGGTATTATGACGCAGTTATTTACAGATAACATCAAAATTAATATATTTACTATGGCTTGAAAAGCAAATTCAATTCTGAATAAATTTAGCAAAAACGTAATATTATAATAAATGTTAAAAGAGAAAAATAATCGTTTTTTGAATGCTATTTAAAATGATAATTAGGATGCAAGCTAAAAAAAATATGCGGTATCTCGATAAACTACTGGAATCGCATGAAATATCACCATTCGATTCCATGCCTAGACGAATCAAATGGTGGTATGTTCGTGAGATTTCGATCGCTAGGTATCGAGATATTGTACCGCGTCATAATACCCTTTTAACCTTATACAGTCAACAATGCATCCCCTTGGGAACATATATTAGATAGGTAAATTTTCTAAGCTTGGGACTGACTAGAGTGTGCATTTAAAGAGAGTATAACCAGTGTATTCATTCATGGAGGACGGTCTGATTATAGTGCAAGTCTAAACTCTTTTTGTTCCATTGCGAGTCAACCAAATTAACTAAAAAATATTGCTTTTATTTCTAAATAATAGATATAAGGAAATCTTTTGCACATAATTCAATACGTATCACAAAGAACATAAAACGCAAAATTCATATGAAATTTAAGAACTTGAAATACCAGAGCATGCTGCTCGAACGAACCATTTCAGCATATTGTAATTCTTGTAAAATCTCAAAAGAATGATAAAATAAACATAAATAAGGGAATTTATTCCTTGCTCATACTATATCTCAATTTATGAAATAGCTATTAAATTCGTTAATATGAAAAGCCTTATTTTAAAATGTCTCTTATTATAATTGGGAAAGCATTGACAATAATTATGTTGATATTGTCACGCCAAAATCAGGTTAACTAAAGAGTCTATAATTGTAAAAAGGTCGAGGGCTAGGCCAACCTTTCACGGAGATTATGCAATCAAGAGCAAAAGGTAAAGTACATAATAACTTTCAAAAATAATAAAAGGTTGCTAATGAAATATAAATTGAATTCAAATAACAAATAATAATTAATTCAAACCAAAAGATAGGTTTATTCCAAAATAAAAAATAAAACATGAAAATCGCAATTTAATAATCAAAGTTAAATAATCAAATGAAACGCATCAATTTTTTGTTCCAAAGAGGTACATGTAATACCTTCGATTTTGTTAAGCACAAAGAATAAAATTATTTATTTGTTATGGCACAAAAGAAATAAAAGTAGTTAGGTAAGAATTAAAAATAAATTTTTATTTATTTTTCTCTAAGTTCTTCGATAACTATCCTTTATCTATAACGTGGTTATTACATGTACATAGCGATAGCAAATTGCATAGCTTAAAACAGATTTCGTGTTAAAACTTTTTACGATCTAAAAATTTATTTTATTAGACAATATCCCCCGTGAAATTTTGGAGATATAACCTGGGGTGGGATATAACTGTATTATGTCACGCAACCTTTAATTTACTATCAATCACGTGTTCTAACTTACGATTTTAATTTTGGTTAGAAATATGGCCAGAATTAATTATGAAATTGATATCAGAATATTTCCGAAGAGCACAATTATAAGCCCGACAAACGAAATTCCGAAAGAACGGCATCACTAATATTTAAAATCCCGACCGAATAAACAACATCCCGAACGACCGAAATTCGAACGAAAGGCATCCCGAAAGATCGAAATTCCGAAAGTATAGCATCCCAAAGGCATGGAATACCAAATTTATTATAATCTCGGGATTCGTGCATTCGGGATTTCGATCATTTGAGATGCTGTTCTCTAGGAATTTCGTTTATAGGGTTTATGATTGTGTTCTTCGAGATTTTAAACGTTACTGTTTGGGGATGTAAGCCAGGGTGGACTTAATAAATATGTTCTTGTTATTTTGGGGATAAGGATATAATTAATTTATTATTCGAACAAAATTTTATTTTATCTGAAAATAACATTAAGGTTATCACATTATTTAGGATATAACTCGGATGCATTTATTACTATTTTGTTTTTGAAAATTTTGGGGAGAGAGATATAACTAAGGAATAATATAAAGAGATATAACCCAAGTAAAACAAATAAAGGAAATCTGTTCTGCTCAATACTGGAAATATAACTCAGAACGAGATATAACCCAATGGAGATATAATCCAGGTATGACTGTAAAACGTTTTTATTTTAGCTTAAAAATTTTATCATAAAAAATTATAGGATAATTATGACAGCTGTTACATGTAGCAGCTTCGAATATTCTTTATTATATTTTAGCTTTTATTATTTCATTTTTTCATTATATAATGAATGAGTAACTTATATAATTAAATATATTATTTTGATATTAAAAATTTAGAAAAAATATTATATATACAAAAAAATTTATATACGTTCTGGACCAAGTTGGAATTCGGATTATTTCAGAATAAAATCGCGTGAAAAGTTAAACTACGCAATCATTTATAAGAATTCGTCGTATTGAGAACAATATGATAATATCGATCCTGAAATGGTCCAAATTTCAACTTAGTACCGAACACATATGTTAAAATTGCGAAATCACCTTATGTGGTTCATTTGACTTGGCATTGAACATATCTGTGTGTACTTAGATACATATATCAATACGTATTACTTTGCAAAGAAAAAAAAATAATTCCTTGTTACTTGCATTATTACAAACGAAGATGACTGCATCTAATGTGGATATAGATATTCTCGCTTTAGTCAAGATTTGTACCATCGTTTTTCTTGGATGGTATTTGGCTAAGGTATTTATCATAATTTTACGTTTTTGCAATCAATTTTAATTATTATTAATTCCATGATTTCGACAGTCATTTTATGTAGCTTTTCTGGGACCGTTAAGTAAAATCCCAGGTCGAAAAAGGGATGCATTTGCTATTTGGTTGTCGTTGCCAACGATTCTAGCGGGAAAAGAGTAACGTATAATATAAAACGATGTTGATTTATCTTGAAAATATTAATTTTCTTTTATTATTATGCAATAGTTGGCTAAAGAATAGATTAATTCATGCCGAATTTGGACCAATTATCCGAACTGGTGAGATTAATCGTTTTTTTTGTAAACGCTAATTAAACACATTTATTTATAATCTGTACCGGTAAAGGCCCCAACTTTCTTTTTGTTGGTGATCGTGATGCTATAAAAAAGGTGAGTATGTCAATGCTTCATTTGATATTTCTCATTGGGTTTCGAGATGAATTATTCTCAATTATTTTTTACCTACAAAGATCGTAATTACAGAGGTAAGTAATGGATAAGAATGAGTTTTATTTATTTTCTATACTAATAGCTACCTGAAATTATTTAGGATTTTCCAAAAGCTCAATTCTACAAGCTTTTTCGACGTAAAAGTGATGAAGAAACACTATTTTCTGGGACGTGAGTAATTTTTTTAGCTATCTAGCTATCAATTAAAATTCCTATTCATCTTTAAAGATAATTTTGACTTCTTTAGTGATAAAAAATTTCATAAACTTCGAGTAAGTACATGTGTACTAATAGTTATGATTTTATTAACTGCATGATTCAAAAATGTTAATAATGTTATTAATAATTTTGTTTACTCAGCGAAGAATGTTATCGCCAGCATTCTCTATAAAATATTTGGCATCGCTTGAACCTCTGATCAAAAACTGCTTCCGTGATGTGATTATTATTATTGATCATTTAATAAACGATTTATCGATGGGAGTAAATGGTCGAAAGCAATCAGCCATTATAAATATATATCAAATAATTCATAATTGCTCTTTGGTAATTAAGGTTTTTTTTCTAGATTGAATTCTGTATTATCCCTTCTTATGTATAATTTAATCTGTTTCTAGGATGTTATTGGTGAAACTGCATTTGGTAGAAAATTTGATATGGTGTTGACCAATAAACACCAGATTCCTGATGAAGTTCGGTATTCTCTAAGACGTATGGTGATGGTGAGTTGAGTTTTCAATATCAATGATTGCATTGATATATGAACGTACCTAGTTTTGAATATGCGACAATTTCAAAGGTTGCTTTTTTACCATTTGCACGATTGTTTATGCGAGAGAGAAAGTATCTGGAAGAGGTATTTTATCAAATTATTATAAATGTAATTTACAAACTCTTATATTAAACATTTTTTTGAATTTTGAGATAATAGTTTGTAACTAAACTTGCGAAGACAAGACGTCAACAACATCCAGACGTAGTAAAAAAAGATATCCTACAAATACTGCTCGATTCGGTAGATGATGAGAATACTGGTTTAACTGATTATGAAATTTTGGGACAGATTGAAGAGTTTATGTATGCAAATAATCCTTAGTTTACTACGTGTGTTAATATCTAATCATTTTATCTTTTAAAAAAAATAGGATTGCTGGAAGCGATACCACAAGCTTCAGCACCTCGATTGCAATGATCCTTTTATCACGACACCAAAGGGTCCTCGAAAAGCTATTTCAAGAAATTCGTGCTGCAATTCCCGAAATAGGCCCAGATAATCTGCCAGATTATGCGTTGTTAAAAGAGTTACCTTATTTAAACGCGGTCATAAATGAGACATTGAGATTATGGCCTATTACATTAAGTGATTTTTCATGGCTTAATTTCTTATTTTTACATTGTTAATTGTATGCGTATCTAAGTTTTTTTTTTCTTTAATGCATTATCGTTATTGTGTAGATGGACGTGAGTAGACTGTTTTAATAATGTGCTTTTATTTCTATTTTTTTTTATATATTTAACTTTTTCTTCATTTTTATAGTAACTATCAGAGAACTAACTAAGGATATAATGATTGGACCATATCATGTACCCGCAGGAGTGAGTAAATCTTTTGGTTATTAGTTATCGTTTAACGTGCAAAAATACCTTTTTATAAATACGCAAATACTGTTGCTAATTGGTGTTATAGACGGTAGTTTTCCCTAGCACTTATTACCTACACACCAATAAAGAACTTTGGGGCCCAGACGCACTAGAATTTGTGCCTGAACGATGGCTCGTCCCAGAAAGAATTCCAAAGGATGCTTTCTATCCATTTTCAGCTGGTTAGTATTAGTAGTTATTGGTTTATTGATCGTTTTATATTAATCTTATGATTTTGTGTATAAATCACATGTATAGGATCGAGAAATTGTATTGGACAAAAGTGAGGCATTTTATTTCGGTAACTTTGATCAAAAGTGATAAAAAACGATGCGCTAATTAAATTCTTAACATTCTAAATTAGTTTTGCATTGCTTGAAATGCGCCTAATAATCGCTTCACTTGTTCGTCGTTACGAATTTACTGATATCCCGGGACAACCATTTGATATCAAGCACTTTATAACGCCGATGCTCACTAATCACCAGTATAACATCTTGATGAATTTGAGAAATGAGGATTGAGAATACAAACATTTTCATTGTAATCGGACAAGTGTTATTTCTGCGAATTTTTATTGGAACCAGGATGTGAATAATATATTAGTTCTTCTTTATTCATAAAATACTATAATTACTTTTCTCACGCCAAATAATAATATAATTAATTTCTCATATTCTTTAGGTAAATTTATATAATATATATATATATATTATGATTAATAATGTACTTTTATTTATAATTATCATATCAAGATGCTTCTGACTTATTTATTTACTTATTTTTGGATGATTCAAAATTATGAGGTAAATGCAAGGATAAAATCGAATTTTGATTTTAACTGTCTGATAAACCTTGTTTATCTGCCGATAGCCCAGTTGGGCACACTCGTTAACAACGCTAAAGTGCGCAAATTTTTTATCAACTCCGGCAAAAACGACACAAGATATGAAAAATACCTTAGTCTGTCTTTGGATACTAATTAAAAATGTCGAATAACAATTTTACATAATCTTATCCTTTATTCTGGCTGTTAACATCACCCTATAAATAATTAATAGGTATTGTTCACATGATGAACTGCGTTTTAATCGTTCTCTGGTTTTAGCATATTAAAATTTAGCTTTAGAAAAATCCCATAAACATAAATCAATTTTCAACAATCAGATGGAATGCCACTGCTGATGAAAAATGTTTTGCTAGAAGATAGATTCTGATTTTGATTATTGCGAGCCTGAAAAACTAAACTTTCAATGAAAGATAAATTTTAAAGTTTTTTGATGCTGTAATTAAAACATAGGACTCGTATGAGGTTTTGCAAGTACATATATTATGGGATGTTGCAATCCAAACATTGAATTATTCCCTCTAACCCGTGTTCTTATCAAAGAGTGTAGCGGTAGTAAAGTGACTTAAGCGAACTCACACTAAATAACCAAGATCGATACAATCAACCATATTCCAAATCCATTATAAACGATTCGATTACTTCCAGTTTCTTGATCCACAAAAAGTAGTATGAACAATTAAACAAAAATATGGACATGTATTTGAATGCTGAACTATTGGTAAATATTTGCGGATTTTCATTTTCTATCTAAACGAGATAATCGAAATATGGTATATCGAGCTTGGAAGAAATTTTATGATTTTATATGGTCACTCAGGCCACTCTACTCCGTTTTTCTGTAGTAAAGACACGGATTTAGATTCAGCCGTTTGTTCTGCAGAACCGAGTCGTTCCATAGTAACAATAAATTCCGTAATTCCTTAATTTCTCCCTAACATGAAGATCGCGACTGTATTCGGAATGGTCAAATCGTATTTGACGTCACGATATCTAGTACAATAGCAATAATAGACTTCGCGATAATTAATGTAATAATATCCCTCGCAATGATTAATATTTGACATCATGTAATTAAAGTTATCGTAACAATATCAACATTTTCCGAATCACTTTTTTTTTCTTTTATTTGTTTGTTTATTTTTATACTCAGCACCTATTGTGGCCTTAGAAACCCAACCTAAAAGATGGGAAAGCACGATTTGAAACCTCATGTACGCGAAGGTAATGAATGATATAGAAACTTACCGATAGTAATTCTTGTAAAAAGACTCATAAGAATATAAAGGTGAGTTCTTGGCCTCCTAACAAGAATAGGACAACTAAAAAAAATAAATAAAGATATTAAAGAACCTCTTTTTACTTGTAAAAGTATCCTATTTTTGTTACTCACCTTTAAATCTTGCATACAAGTGGCGTTTATTTCTTTTGTGCCTAACATAAATTGATAATGGAAGAACTTCACTCTAAATAAACCATAATTGCCTTTAGTATTTTGTTTGTTGACATCGAATAAGTCCAACTGTTGAATTTGCTTTGTGCCTCATTTTATTCGCTTAGTGCTTTGTTGAATTTGTTTCTTGCTTTATTTTTTTTTGTTGGCCGCGTCAATAAGTTCAATCTTCTCTGCGGTTATTGTTAATAGTAAACGGAAACTACCCTATTCCGTTGGAATCTCGTGAATTATTAGGTCTTGTTCAAAACCCCTTAAGTTATCATTCCAAATAGTTAGTTTTCGTAAAAGCTACCGCAGGAGACCTTGGAACGACAAGAGGATCTCCTATTTTTGTAAATCATTCCGTCCAAGCTTCCCACCATTGTGTCGCATCCTGCCTTCTTTAGATCCAACATCTTTAGAAAGTAGCGTAATAATATTCTCAATCCTCCATTAATGGGATTCATTCTAGCTCCTTAGAAATCTTTCATCCCGAAAAATTAATTCCCTCATTTGTTGTAGAATCAACTGTTCTGGAAAAATATTTTTCGCTAGAACACAAAAAACGATTTCATAGATAAAACCTTTGAATTACAAATTGACATCAAACCAGGAAGAAAATCAATTAACCCGTGAAATAACAAAGAAAATTTGGATGAACTACTTAAATAAGAATATATTCAAATTCATTCAAACATGTTTGAGCTGGATGTTCCTTCAAATCGATCCTGTAATTCTGATTCAATTTTTTCTTGCTTTCATGAAAAACTCGGCAATCGTCATACAAAAGATCTATCATGCATGTATAAATATGTAATAGTGAAATATATCCAAATCTATAAGTAGGAGAAACAGTTCTAAATGGAAGGAGGCAAAAATTAATTTCAAGCCATGTATGATGTAGCGGTATAATTACGTAACCGTCTATAAGATAATACATATTGCATATTAAAATAGCGTATGATAAAAGAAATTATTAATGATAACAAGTGTAAAATTATAGAATTTTTTGCTTTCCATTAATCTTTTCGAAATCTTGACTTTTATCATTATTCTTCAGCTTTTATACACGTGAAAATCCACTTCCCGGGAGTCACGGATCCCTGAATCGTTCTTCAAGTTTTACTAAAAAATAGAGCTTTATCAGCCAAGCCACCAGGATAAAAAATTATATCATCGTTTTAATAATTAATAATCTATCCCCATAATCTCTATAATTAGCCAATCTATTATATAACGATAATAGATTACACATATTTTGTTTGACGCGACGTAAACTGATATAAATTTTCACACTAAATACACTAAATCCTAGCTTAGCAACACCCGTATTTTTTTTTGTTTTATATTATTTCATCGCAAGATAAAAAGCTTACAAAGCAGAAGTTCATAATATTATCGTTGTTTATAATAAATTAGTCTAGTCGCAAACAATATAAAATAAACCACCCACACAGCCGTTCACATAGTAATATAACCTTCTGTTTAATTACTATAAATAGGACTTACGCTAAAACGTGACTACAGTTGCTCCTTCTGCCACTAAAGGAAACGAAATTTTTATAGAGTTGACTAATATTTTTTCGCAAACTTTGTATTTGGCTTTTTCAAGGATGGTCGGATTTTCTGGTAGACCTTATGAATAGGTGACACATTATTCACTAAGTTATTTATTTAATCATATGCATCTGAAGTTACGCTGCCACTAGTAGTGTGTAAGATAACAGAGAATTGGAAGCGCATCGTGGTCACTGAGGTTGTGGGTCGAGTAACCTCCTGTGAACGTCCTTCTCTGTCTATCTCTCATGCGGGAATGGTGAATAGGATACATGAAAAGAAGCTTACCGTGCCCGGCTCGGTGGCACGCCCGAGTTCGACTCGACTCCGAGAGGTTTTAACCTTATTGGTAATGATGACATTTGCTTAACTTTTTTACATTTATCAAATAGGAACGCTCCTTCTGTCGCTAAAGGGAACGATTTCTTTCCAACGCACACGTGTCTGACCCTGTTAATCTCAGCTCGGCTTTTTTATGTTATGCAAACCAATACAAGCATTTAAGGATTCAAAACTTGTGGTTGAAGTCTCACATTCAATACCGTTACTTGCTACTCGAAAACCGGATTTTGCATTCATTGCAAAGGGTGTCTGTCCTCTACACGCACAGCATGTCGTTCCCGTTGGTGAAATACAGCAATCAATTCACTAATGTAGATGCAGTGTCATTTGGCAAAAAGTCCTCAGCTTCAGCCTCAACAAGCCTATGTATACGCGATTGCAGTTATTGTATTTTATAAAGTGATTAGGTGCAACTCTAATAACAATGATGATATCCTATTCTCACATGAGTACGTATTACCTGCACAATTAAATTATGAATCCAGGAATCGCCCTCCAGCCGGGTGGTAACAATTATGGAATGTCATCAGATGAGTTGATTCATCGCTGAAATTCAGCTTAGATACTGTAAAACTAGTTCGATCCATCGTGTTTTAGAATTAATTTGGATTGCGGTGGGTAGTGTGCTTTGTCAATGTACAAAAAATCGAAACAAAAAAATGTGCGACATTCAAAATGAAGATAACAATGTAGTAAAAATGTGACATTTGTCTTTTCGTTGGGCAGGCTTATGGCTAGGTCATCACAAGCTTGAAATTTTATTTTCTTCACGCTCTGATGGCATCACAAAATATACCTACGTCTGTATGTGACCTAGCCATTTATATTTGGACTCCTGCAGCTGATCTTTGGAAGAGGGACTTGCAACGCCTACTAAGACTCATTACAGGATCAAGAATAGATGGATGGTTACTCCCGCCTCATGTATTTTATTATGTAAATCTACAAGTAAATAAATCGATTCGTCCCAATCAAAATTTTTTGATATTGTTCATAAAATGTCTACTTTGCACGGTTTGAGATTTTCTTACCTTTCATTACGTTCTCCAACCAAACTTCGAAAAAAGAATCAGAAAAGCCGAGCCTACGCATGAGCTCTTTACCGGTGATGAGTCAGACGCGATTTACCCCCCCCCCCCCCTTTCACATAAGATATTGAGACAAAGGGAGATCTTCTAACCGGCGACCATACTGATTTGAAGGTAAAAATTACGCTGTATTATCTATTCTCGCGATCCTATACTTATAATTTAAATATTTCTTCGCTACCGCCTTCCAGAACAATACATAAATACTATCGTGTTACTTCATTGGAGTTAGTCAACATCGTTTTTAATTCGGAATCTCAGCGCTATCTCATCCATTGTTTGAACGTATTAGCATCAACATTAATTACCTCAAAAAATAAATATCAGGTTGCGAGAAATGGTAAAATAATTTAACGGAAAAAAATTACCAGCAGTGAATTGCTTAATACATTTCGCTAGCATCATGACAGGTCCTATTTCAAACCCGCTTTCTCGAAATCTTCTATTTTGAAATATGTTTAAGTCCGTTTCTTGAACAAATTCGAATCAAACTTAGACTTGAAGGACCCAAAAATCATACGATGGATCAGGTGCTATCTTATAACGTAATTATTTCTTGAAAAAAAAAGGATTATTTGAGAATGCTGGACAAAAGGGCCTTTAAGAAATTTTTCTCAAAATAAAAATTGTTGGTGCTTTTACTCATTTGTTTATTTAATTACTTTATTTAGATATATTTTGTGTAATCATGATGAGTCTGGAATCACATCTTTAAATGTCCGATTTTGGACAGTGGCGAAGAAAAATTCTAGTCTCCAACATTGATCTAATGCCTATAGTTTTTATACTCATCTTAAAGATGAAATCTAGAAAATATATACATGTATAAAATATTATTATTGATCTACGCTAGTGTTTAAAGCTGACTAGAATATGCCGACACTAGCTGATTCAGTCGAGCAAATTTTTTCAATGTGGCGCAAGTCGATCTCGAAAAATTTCTAAATTAGGTAACATTCATTATCGTAATAAAAAGCTATTTATGGTTTAAAATTAAACGTGTTAAGTAATAAATAAGGAAATTCACATGATTATTACCGCCGAAACAAAAATAGCAGTCACGCTGGTACTTTATTGCCCGTTTGAAACACTACGTGTATTTTTAATTAGTGAAATTTTGATAATAAATATATTTCGCCAATCTTAACAATCAAAAATGTTTTTCCTATTTATGAAAACCACCCATATATCAATTTTCAGCTAAATAGTAGTGTTAATTATAAAGATACAGCATCCGAAGGTTAAAAATTTAACCGTGTATTATGTACATTCAGAGGCTCATAGCTCAATAGCGAACACTCCGAATTAGCTGAAAATTGGTTTATGGATAAACTTCATAAAGGAAAACGGTTTTTATTACTGAGATTTTTCCGGCTTTTGCCTTGGTAAAAAAATTTATTATCAAAGTTTCATTAATTAGAAAACTATGCACAGGTTTCTATAGATGTAAATATCCAAAGGGCTTGCCTTCTAGGAATATTATTGTAATGTCCTAAAAAGACGGTAATAGTAATCATTTGAGAATAAGCACCATCCCACAGTTAGATCAAAAAATAAGAAAATTATGTGATAAGTACCAATATAAATAAGCATCATTTTATATTTAATTTTCAAAAAAATTTCTCAATTTACAACATCTCTTTCTTTTTTTCTTTTATTGCATCATCTATATTGATTTATTGATGCTTATTCCAGATGAATTCAAGAAACTTTTTAAAAATAAGAATCATTATAAAAATTAGTTAAAATTCATAATAAATATTAAGTACTATTAGTAATATATTTTATATTTCAAATATTCTGAATAATTTTTAAACAAAGTTCAAAAATATTTAATCTATAAATTAATTATCTGAAATGTATAATTTAATAAAAAAATCTTCTTATATTATTATTAAATTTCAATAAAAATAATTTTAAATAAAAATTCTTAAGTAAAGTTAAAGAATTTAATATATATTATAAATTTATTAATATTATAAAAAATTAAAATATATAATTTTAAGTTTATTATAATTAAAATTTTTTGAGATCACAATAATATAATGATATTTTAAAGCAATTGATAAAAAAGTTGGTAAATTAAATTTTCAATAATAAATTAAATAAAAAATACTTTTAATAACTCATTTAAATATTTTAATATGTAAAGAATATATTTATAATTTAAATATAGTTTTTATTTTGATTGATATTCTATTTATGAATTTTTAATAAATAAATAAAAAGTTTTTCTTAATTAAGAATATATTCATAAATTTTTTTCAAAATTTTTTGTTAAAATTATTTTTAAAAACTTTTTATTCCTATTGTTAAAAATTCAGATTCACCAATGTTGATACCAAATTCAACACAATATTGTTATGTTAACATTTTACCTAATATCTAAAGAGTATATCTGCAACTTTTGAAATAATTCCGCATTAAGCTATAAGCAAAAAACATATCCGCCATTATTTTTTGTCAGAGCTGTAATTAATTTTTTATTAATAAATAAAATATAAAACAAAGTATCAATTTAAATAATAAATTTATTTAAAATAAATGTTTTTTATGATAAAAAATTTTGATTGGAATCACTCACAGAATAAATACTATTACAGTCAAATTTGTTAAACCAAAGTTGGTCAATGTTATTAACAAAATTATCAAGATCTATCTAGTAAAATTCATTTTATCAAGTTATCGAGGAGATTTATTACAAATGTTCCTGAAATCAACTTCGATTTATCGTTTTTAAGTTTTTTAGTATTACATAAAATGAAGTATTTTTTAATATGAACTTGTCCGGTTCCCGTCTTATTATGAAACAAAGTCACCGTTTTTATATTCCGATAGTATATGCGTAAAAATTCGCTTTGCTTGTTAAATTTTAGACGATCAAACAATACACATCGAAACACGGAATATCATGTTAATCATGAATTCTTAAATTTTGAAAATCTCAAAGAAGCAGAAAATTACTTTATAATAACTTGTTTAGAAAGTAGATGTTTTTCTTTTTATCACAAAGTACATGCAAAAGGCCGCATAGATCGGAAAATTTCCCCAATTCAAAAGGACTACGCATCCTGCATCATGCATATAGAACACACAAAACGTCTTTCACACCAAAGTGCCTGATAATAAGGTTTTTTGTTCACACACTCCGTACAATACCGCGCACAATAAGCAATGCAATGTGTTTCCTAGAAATCACACGACTGTATTGTATTTTGTTATTATATGTCGATCTGAAAGAGGTAAAGCAAAGTTTGCGTCATTGATATATGCAAACAAGACAGAGTAGGTATCGGATAGATCAAAAGCCACACCATTAGATAGAATAGAGATGTTAATTCATTGTCCGTTTTTTTATTATTTTACAATCATTAGAAGAAAAGAAAAAAATAGAAAAAAATCCTAGTATTATTCTTATTCCAAACTTAAAAACTACATAATAAAAAATATACTGCAAAATACAAGTTACATACAAGTGAACGCATTAATAAATGTTCAAATAGATCTTCGCCGACCATTAACCAAATCAACCCAATCCCAAAACACAATATCCCTTTCCGAACACCCATCGATCCGCACTCGTTGCAAATTGGGCAACGACTCGGCGTTCAACGGTTGTAATAACCGTTTTCCGACCTGCTCACAGTCGACGAATTCGAGTGTCTCGAGTTTTCGACAGGTGGCTAGTCCTTCGAGTGGCATACATGTTTTCGAGGAGAAATCTATGCATCGGAATCTTAGATGTCTCAGAGAACTCGAGATGTGTTTGAATGCGTCAATTACGCAGATGGGAATTGGGAAGAACGAGTTGTCACTGTCGATTTCAAGGTGTTCGACATTTTTTAGGCCTTTGAATAGGGCGGTTATGTCTTCACTTAGTGATTCCGGGCTACGACACCACGAGTCAAGACACCAATTTCCGAGTTGTAAATATTCCTATAATATATAAAGATTTTAAATTAGTAATTAATCAAGGACGAACGAATGTAATGAAAAAAAAAGGAAATAAAATACATTACCACATTCTTGCAACTTATTGACAATCCAGCCAAAATATTATCTTCACGATAAAATTGACCACTCAATTCAAGATATTTCAATTGTAGCAAGTTAATATGAATCTCAGGTTCCAATAAAATCTCATAATAATGACTTGTTTCAGAATGTCCTTGAAAACAGGAAAGTCTTAGTCGCTCAATGCCTGGCGAATAACTGAAGATATGCCCAAGCACCACTTTTGCCACCAGAAAACTCGCGTCTTTGGCAGATGCACCACGAAAGGTGGCAGCCGACCAATTTCTCACCATATCGATGAACAATTCGAAATCGATGTGCTTGATGAAATACGAGTAGTCGAACGCGGGTGCCGATTTTAGCCGTCGTATTGTGATTCCCTTGTTTATCAGGTATTGTTGAAGTTTCGGGTTCAGCGCATTCAATAATAATTCCATCATTGTGATCTGTGCTGGGATATGTCGTGTGAAAAATGGTTGTCGCCAAAGAAACTGTGCTGCTACTTGACACCATTGTCGATTCACCAATAGACAAGAATGCAATGTCTTGTATGTTTTCTTATCCAGATTACCGAATGGTTGTTGGTCATTTGGTAGAGCAATGAATGCGAATATCTCTTTTAATACATCTGATACTAGAACTGGCCGTTTTGGTCGTCTACGCGTTGTTGGGCTTGGTGGTGGTGATGGATTCTGTGGCCAATTATAACTTTGAACCACATTTATTCCACCGTACCAACTTCTTCTTAATAATCCACTTAATCTTTTTACTTTTGACATATTATAATTAATTATTAAATTAAGGCTCGATTGTTATACCGGTTAATACTGACAATAATGATAATGAATAATAGTAATAAAATATTTATTATGACTTTTGCTCGAAACTAGCGAGAAAGTTTAAAGAAATCAATAAACAAATAAAAAATAAATCAATTTTTCAATCGTAACGAATTCCTGCTCATTTTAAACTTTTTTTCACGCGCACACGCACAATCCGATGGAAATAAAGGATTTTTCAGTGAGCAGCGGTCAGCAAAAAAAAATAAAATCTAACCTAAATGTGCGTGTAGAAAAAAAGGAGCAGATAGCCGACCAAATGTAGTTATAAAGCAAAGGAGGATGGGGACAGAGCAGGATTCAACCAGATTTGTATAATAAATGCAATGTGGTGTAAAGTAATGCAATTGGTAAACAAACTGGATAGTTTGACTACTACATGTACTCACTTGCTTTTTAGAAGTTATCAAACAATGATGCAAATCATCTATAGAATAACAGAGGAATTTAGAGAGATGTTGTTGAAATGACAAACGTATGGGAACACAAGATAAATTTTTACATTAATTATTGTTTTACGTGTACCGTCCACGGATTGTCCCATTTAGATACACCAATGACAAAACTAGATATGGCTGTACACACTACTCCCTTTATAGACACACGTAATACACCACTGTTTATATCCAATGAAAAGTTATAGACGTGATTCAAGTTAAACAGGAAAACAGACTTGGCATCAACGAAGAGGCCGAATCTATAGAAAACCCCGTAAATCAAGATAATGGGCTGAGTATTATGCGATACTATATCGATATTGTACCATTCATATAGAACAATTATTTTACTACGCATAGTTCATTACGGGTTTTTTCCCCTTTTTTATTTTTACCATCGTTATCACCGTTGGTTTAATTCTCTCGCCCGTAATAGGGTTTATGATGAAAATTTTGGCATATCGTATTGTACTAAATTAATATTATTTGCTGCATATTTATAATTAACAATGGAAAGAAATTAATTATTTAATTTTGGTCATTTAAATTTTAAATTATTTAAATTAATTAAATTAATTATTCATAGTTAGTCACTTTTTTAACAAATTTGGCGGACAACATTACGTATACGTAAATCCTGTTGGAAAAAATAATTTTTCCACCCACGTACTAGTTTCAACTGCCTCATCGTGTGTATAATTTCATGTGCATCTACATGTATCAATCATCATCATTCACTCACTATAACGCAGCCTCAGAATGAGCATTTATCGTTATTAGAATAACGTTAATGTATCGATAATACGTATCGGTATCGTCAAAGATGATATTTTGATGATACAGTGCACCCCAAAATACATAAATATCACATACGATAATTTTTCCCTCTATGCACTCCTATACGTACGCAACGAGCGCATGCGCAAACAAAACAACACATAAACTGAGTAATCAGAAAGAGAAATGCAACTTCTTTAATTAATTGAAGTTTTTTGCGCCCGTCGGAATGACTTACTTTGTGATCCAAACAATAAATGGCCATTGTATTCAATAAAGTTAAAAGATAACTTGTTCGTCGTCTTGTTTTTTTCTGTTCTTTTTAATTCATTCAGGCAGTTGCAGGAAATCTGAATCAAATTAAATATTTTGAATATTTTACGCCAGATGCTCGACTAATTAATAAATACGGTAGTATTAGTATTACTTTTTACTCAAAAATCTTTGACAGTGAGAATGATCGAGTGATGAACCATTGAATTCATTGCGCGTGTGGATTTCCGATTGTGGCAATTGGTTGGGATAGGTATGTGGGTGCGTATGATTATGTAGAGTACGAACTTATGCATGGCTTTCTTAATATTTGTACATCTGAATAAGAAGGGGGCAAGATTTGGTTTTTTTAGATTTCTTAACGATAATATGATAAGAGATGTTATCGTCTGATTTGCTCTTTGAGTCAGATCATCCCTTTATCGTTGTGACTTTTTTTACAAGTCGATTAACAAAAAATAATCGTGTATCGTCATGGCATCAAATTAGAAGAAATTGATACATTATAAAATTAGAGAGAAACTTTTTAAAATTCAGGATTCTGCATGCGAAAAAAGTCAAGACACGCATGAAACAATTTGTAAACAACCTCAACAAAGTATAATAATTAATCAAGTAATTCATACAGGTTTCAATATGAAAATTATTTAACTCTGCTCATTTTCTGTATGATTGCTTTTTCCCACTAATATTCGAAACAGAGCATTCTTTCATTCTTCAGAACAAGTTATATCGCAATAATAATAATTTATTGATTCAACAAAGGTATTATATATACGAAACAAAGTAATTAAAAAATAATTAATAAACACAAGCGCAGCGCATAACAAACGATAAATGACAGATACGTGTAACTGCGTGCGTGTATTGTTTTCTTCAAAAAAAAAAATAATGAATTATTTGGATTGTATACTGAATTCTGGTATAGGTCTCTCATAAAAAAATCATACGAGGGATACGGATGCTGATGTTCTGTTTTCTTGCTAGCAAGGAGTTGTTCGTTCTACGCAAATTTTCAATTTAGGATCACGCTTCATAACCTCGGTCATGATATTAAGAGTAGTATCACGAGGTTCAAAGCGTTGTAGTTCTTAACGGAAATTTACGTTAGAATTTGGGCTTGTAAATTTTGATCGAATTTGTTGGCGTTTATTGATACTTTGATAGAATTTTTATAAAAATCCGGAAAGTAATAAATAATACGATTTCTTCGATTCAATTTACAAATATTGAAATACAATTTGTAGAACCATTGTCGATTTCGAGGACGAAACTATTTTTTCTCTGTCCGTGATTTTGCTACGTGTGTTACTTGTTACGTTAAAAACTACTATTGTGACGATATAAACGCATACCAAAGGAGGAAAGCATGACAGATTTTTAGAAAATTGTTTAAAAAGCTTATAAAATGAAGATAACATATATGTTAATACCTCCTATAACTCGCAATAATATTCTTTTCACTATTCGTTTTGGCTCCCGAAGACTGGATGGTCGAGGAGTGGTGATTATGAAGTCCTGCTCAACAATAAACCAAATGTTCTGATCCGGACTTTGGAAACAATTCAACCCATTGAGAAATGTGGTGTGAGATCTTTTGAAAAGGGATCTTTTTAACGGTGTAATATTTGTTATATTAACAGAAGAAAAGCGTTTGTTCCAACGTCGAGTTTTACGAAATTTCTCACCCGAGCTCGAGCTTCAACAAATTTGCTTTGTTCCAAGCCCATTTCAAGTTTTAATAAAACTTGCAAAGCAAAAATTTGTAGTTGGAAAAAAGAACTGTGAACCTATTTTTGAGAATAAAATTCCGGTCCCTAAACTATTAAAATTTAGTAACTTCAATGTCATTCTTTTATGTGGAGGTTAAAGCCATCAAATACTACTTTTCTGGAGCGCATTACTTGTTAATATGTGTAAGACCAGAATAGGGTTTCCTTTTTGTTTTTTACATTGTCTGATTTTAACCGTTTTGAATTTAAAATCAGAGTCGGTCTATCAAATCAATTATACAGTGACTCACTAAAGAAACGGAACGCATAAAAATAGCGATGAAGTTTGAACACACTATCTCACCATTTAAGGATTGTTCACAGCTAAATCGGGACTTTATTCGTCAAAATGACAATCATCGACTTATTTTCCTAACGCTAATGATTTTTTTAAATTTAGTGTTGTATCGTATTAGGAAAACGTCCATGCACATAAACTTTCCGACAATAAGGATACGAAACGGATGGACTCAGTTTCGGTCCAATGTATTTGCAAGGAAGAATTGAAAATTTCAAAGATAAGCCAAATCTCGTGAACAAACTGCGGATTAATAATATCTGGTAAATTCTCTACCACCGTTCAAGTTCAGTGAAAGCTCCATTAGGAGTCGAAATTTCCCGTGGAGAAAATACAACGCCTATTAAGAACTTATTCGCAAGAATTAAGCGAAAAAACCTTTACTCAAACAACAAATAAAAATCGCTAATTGATCAATTAAAAGAATCACCATCCCTATGATAGCTTTGGACAAAGTTTGACAATTTTTTAAGTAGAAAAATAGCAATATCTTATTATATAACTGGTTGAAAAAATCTAAATAAAATGTTTAGAATTTAGCGTATATAATCAGATATTTTTTATATGCTTGCTTAAAAATATACAAGAGTTTGGACAGCTTGTACTTTGGACTTGGACAAGCCAAAAAATGGTATGGACATCAAAAATGTACAAAATTGCAGGTGAGTATAGTAGCTTTTACAGGTTGGTACAGAGGCACCTGTAAAATCTAATCCGTTACAAATTACAGGTGGCTGCACACTTTTTAGATTTTTTCAATGACCAAAATCCCTCTCGACCTGAAAATCGAAAATTAACATTAGAAAATAATGACCTACCAAAAAAACGCTTGGTGTATGCAAAAAACTTGTAACCACCCGTTAATTTGTAACGGACCACAGGGTTTTTACAGAGTGATTTTTCCTATAGAACATATTATGCCAACTGTAAAATTTGGAGGCGGTTCTATTATGGTTTGGAGTTATCTAACTGCCAATGGAATTAGAGAACTCCGAAAAATTGATAGTAGGATGGACATCGATATAATTTTCAGACGCAGTTTAAGAACATGAAGACCAATGATCCCAAACATACTATACACCCAAAAAAAGAAAGGATATTGCTTGATCGGCACTTTCAAGTAAAAGGATTTGTGGGAAAATCGTTTGAGAAACATTGAAATTGACTTGATCAATTCGATGAAGGCAAGAGGGGGATACATAGAGTATGTGATGTGAAAATTTTTCTTTAAAAGTAAATATCTTTCTTTATTAGGGTCTTCGGTCATATTACGCGAAACGCTAAAAAAAATAAATCATTATCTTATGAAATTTGTTTATCATTTTAACGAATAAAATCCGTTTACCTTTAACTGCATGCAATTTTTCGATGGCGAGATATTCAAATCTCACCATTCTTTTTATGCGTTCCATTTCTTTAATGGGTCAATGTAATATCGATACTCAAATGGACTGAATATAAGTCGTTTGAATAAAGTTGGAAATACGAGATCAACGAACTTTATATAACACAAGAAAAAAACGGACATTTGACTCATCCGCGTTTTCACATACAAACACTTGATGGTTTGGTTATTAGTGAATAATATAAAGAAACTTCTACATTGGCATAATACATGTACAGTACCCACAGAAAGTATCGCCCGATGCAAAATTAAAAATAAAAATTTTGAACATTTTTGATTTTTGTCAATTTATACACCAAATAAAAAAAATTTATTTAATATTTAATCGGCTCTCCATATGACTCCAATACCGCATTAATTCTTCGTGGCATTGATGCAGTAACCCGTTCTAAAATAGCCACATCAAGTTTTTCCAACTCCATCTTCAGTGTAATCTTAAGTTCGGCCACAGTCGTCGGAAAGTTCTCATTTTTTTGAATATTGTCCTTTAATATCTTCCGAATGCTCTCTATTGGATTCAGGTCTGGGGAATTCGCCGGCCAATTAATAATTACGATTTTATTTTCCGTTAACCAATCCTTAATTTTTCCCGCAGTATGTATCGGCGCATTGTCATGTTGAAAGATTGCGTAACTTCCAGTTAATTCCCTAATTGCGTTCTGGAATGGAAGTAATTGAGTTTTTAAGATTTCGAGGTAAGTATTTGCAGTTATTTTTTCGCCTTTTTTATATTCATCACAAAAAATTAATGGTCCTTTTAATTTTCCCGCGAAACATCCCCAAACCATTACAGATTTTCGTCCACTTTTAAAGGTAGACGCCAAACAATTAACGTTAAACTTTTCTTCAGGATGCCGCCAAACTCTTGGTTGCCGTGACCGCTTTCCAATCTCCACGCTGATTTCATCAGGGAAAATTATTTTCAACCAATCATAAGCTGATTTATTTTATTTCTTCCCACCATTTAATACGAGCATTTGCACGTGTTTCTGAGATATAAATTTCTTTGCTACGATACGTGAGTTAAGTCCGCAGTTGTCCAATATATTTGCGGGCAGTTGATAACTACAAGTGAGACCTAAATTGTTGACTATTTCGCGTAGCGGTGCATACATCATTGTCGAGAATCATCCGAATCTTTTCAAACACACTATGATACATGTACACACACACACACGCCCACTATGAAATGTATGACGAATTAATTCATACATATTGTTTTATAAATGCAACCTCTATAACTATAAACGAGCTGTTGGAGATTTGTCTGTATATAGTATTAGTTGTTTTATTTTTTTTTCTGGTTTGCAATAACGAAATTATGAGTAAATTTCGAGCTAAATATCATTGCATGGATTATTATAATAATAAATAGCACATAGAAAAATAATAATTACAACAAATACAATATGAAAAGGGAGTTTGATTATTAATAATTTCTAAATATAAAAATCAAAGCCAAGTCACTTCAACATCACATTCTGATAGATCTGAAATATTAAACAATTATATAAAATGTAGTCACACCTCTCTATAAGAACAAACTCTCTATAAGAACCGGATTTTCTGACCCGACTGTGTTCTTATAGAGTGCTACTGTATGCTTTAATGCATTGCTTAAAATTGGTTTCATAATTTAAATGTTATAGAAAAACCCCTTGTAATGATATTGCGCAAGTTACAAAATTTTGTCCATTAATTTTGTTTGAAGTTTCTAAAAGAATCAAGATACATGTAAATTATTTTATTAAACGAAATACTTGTTCAAATTTAGAAAGTGAAAAATTATCATTGATATAATTTGAATTGAGTTCACTCTTTAGCCCATTTCATATTATGAAATGTTTTTATACTTAAAATTAGATTTTTTCTATGAAATTTTTGGGTTTGATAGATTAATTCTAGTTATTTTCTCTTTTTGCAAAATATATGTGGAAATCTTTTCTCGAAAATTTACGGTATCACACGTATACAGTTGACTTACTTTTATAGTAACTATGTTAAAGACTAATTTAAGTTCAAAACCATATATAACAAAAAAGACTGATGAATTTACTAATAAATTCATTACAAATTCTCGACGTAATAAATGTTTGAACACTTCATTATAAAGAAATTCAACTGTAAGCCAAATTTTTTAATTATTTAAATTATTAGATTCTTATTATTTATTACTCTCGTTAAATTAAATTTTAAATTTAATATCCTGAAACAAAAAAACAAAATTTCTATAACCAAAGAAAAGAATTGATTGTTGACTTAATCAAACACCAATCAATGATATCGATATCGATACGTTATTACATGTAAATATTACTTTCCATTGATGGTCATTGTGTAACATGTCTACATAAACAACTTAAACAACAACATCATACTAACGCTAACGCTGCTTAATGAATCGTCCATTCTCTCTCTCTTAAATAAATAAATAAACAACCGACTATCGCTCTGGTAAAATAAGAAATTTAGTGAATTTTTCGTTTCCCATTTTATTGTTTTTTTTCAGATGTTTTCATCTCTTATATGTATCTGTAATATTAATCAATAGAAAATAATGGATGTCTTGAATCTACCAGATATTCTGACTGAAATTTTCGAAAATCTGGTGGAATCCTCGAAATTCTCTTCAATCATTAGTGATAAGTCTGACAATAAAGATTTATTTAATTGTCTCTTGGTGAATCGTCTGTGGTGTCGTACGACAGTCCCACTTCTTTGGCGACAACCATTTCAACCCACACGTGAGCATGGATACAAGGCAATAGGAATATATTTTCAATGTATGGACAAGAAGGATCGAAAAACAATTCAGAAACGGGGATTTCAATTACCACCGATCAAAATAGCACCTGTATTCAATTATCCTTCATTTCTGATTGGGCTTAATTATCGATGGTTCTTGAATGCGGTCGAAGATTGGTGTTACAAAACGCCTGTTAAACCGCACACTGGGCTTCTCAAATGCTGTAAATCGGCAAAAGTCGGCCAAGTAGCAGAGACCGATGACATTGTGTTCGTTGCACGAAAGTTGCTCAAACTTTTAGTTGATAACAACGTTGTGTTGAAACGACTTTGCATTTCGTCGATTCCGAGAGCAGTCGAGGCTGTTGACAGGAAAAAATACTTGATCTGGGCCGAATCAGAATTCGTCATTCTATTTTCGTCCGTTAAAGAGCTGGTTGTGTCGGGGCAATTCTTTGATCAAGCAAATGATCTAACATCACTTTCAAACCTTTGCAGATTGGTCGTGAGTATTGATTTTTTTTCTTTTACATACAAAGAGCGAAATTCGATTAAAAAAGTTCAAATTTATTTCCTTAGTCTCGTCTTGTGATTTATACATGGGTGGAGAGAAACGTTGAACATGAATCAAGCACTAGAGAAGTCGGAAACGCATTGACAACTCTCATAAAAAATCAGAATGGATTAAAGGAATTTTGTATTCGTGACGCTGGGGGACTCTCTAAATTTATCATAAGTGCATTACCATCACAAAAAGATTCCCTGTCATATGTTCGATTTCATAAGGTTGACTTCAGGAATTCCGGCGCATGGAATGGTTTAACGGAATGCTCGAAATTACGAAAGTTATCATTTTTCCAATGTGAACAAGTGACCAAGGATAATGTTCAGCCATTGTTTCGCGCAACTTTCCCACACCTGAAAGAATTGGAAGCTAAGCCAGACATACATAATGGTGAACACCTGATGCGTTGGATTAGAACAATGAATTAGTAACTTTTTTGTAGTCGGAATTCTTTCGACATGAAGACCACATACCCCTACTATAATTTAGATTAAATATTAATTTTTTAGATTTAGATTAATTCGAATTTCGAAAATCGCATGTTAACATTAATTATTAATTTTCTTTTGGGTAATGTTCAATACATGTATTATTTTGTCTGGTGAACATTACTCAATTAGCCGAACAGCCGATTTATAGCCGAACCAAACTATAAAAATTTTCATTGATTATATTCCACTTTAAAGCAAAATTCACTTTAATGTACTTTTGAATAAGTAGCGAAATTAGGCTACGACGTCCCTCTGTGTTTCCCACACTCGCTTGATTTCGAATGTTTTTTCCGCGTCTTATAACAAAATAAAAAAATACGTCGTATGAAATATATCTGTCTTAACCGCGTATTTCAATTGTTTACTCGGAAATTTATTTTGATCGAATAAAAATAAATACGTCATGTACAATATGTACAATGTATTCCTTTCACCAATGTCATACAAACAGATCTATGCCTTGATAGGTAAGGATATTTTCGTGCGCGCAATATGTTCATTTCGGCTAAATAAATGTACCGATTTAGCACTTTTTCTATTAAAATTTGCAATAATCTGCGGCAATCGCGTCAAATCATTCATGGTTGGGTCCATGTATTATTAATCAACATTTTTCCGGGAATCTTCAGGATCTTTATTCTAATCTGATTTCATATTAATTAACAGTTGAGCAAAAAATTATAAAAAGGACTTGACAATTTCCTCGAGTTACTATGACAATTCGAAAAAAAACCAATATTTCACTTTTAAACATTAAATCAAATGTCTCGCCAAGAATTAAAAGTCAATGGTGCCATTTCTGCCGTTAAAGGTATCGATGCGGAAACATCGAAATCTTTCTTCCACCCGATACAAAATCCAGCAACCGGTACCGCAATATCCGAAAACCCACCACCATTGTTTCAACCATTAACAATTCGTGGTGTCAGATTTGCAAATCGAGTAGTTGTATCGCCAATGTGTATGTACAGTTGTGAAGATGGATCTTTGACGGATTTTCATCTAGTTCATTTGGGTCAATTTGCGTTACGCGGTGCCGGTTTTGATATTCATTGAAGCTACTGCAGTCTTGCCCAATGGCAGAATATCACCAGAAGATAGTGGGATTTGGGACGACAAACATGTGGGGCCATTAAAGCGTATCGTGGATTTTGCCCATTCGCAGGGCGCAAAGATCGGGATTCAGATTGCACATGCTGGACGTAAAGTATGTATGGTTTATTTTGCTATCTTTCTGCTTTCTATGTTCATTGATTAATCGATCATCCTTTTTAGGCCTCAACAAGATCACCGTTTATAGCTGAACAAAATCCACAGCTTTCACTACTTGTTCCCAAAGAAGACAACGGTTGGCCCGATAACGTGGTTGGACCATCGCCAATTCCATGGGACTCTAAACACGCAACCCCCGATCAACTCAGCATCGATGAAATACATGAAATCATCGATGCATTCGGAAAAGCTGCCGAACGCGCATTAAAAGCCGGATTCGATGTGCTCGAACTCCACTTTGCACACGGCTACCTTCTCACTGAATTCTTTTCACCGTTGTCAAATCAAAGAACGGACCAATATGGTGGAAGCTTTGAAAACAGAATTCGATTCGGTTTAGAAATAATAGAACGCGTACGTACTATCTGGCCAGCTGACCGACCTCTATTCATTAGAGTCTCTGCGACAGAATGGGTCGATGATGAAAAATCTTGGAAGATAGATCAAACTGTGGAATTTGCAAAAATCGTAAAAGAACTTGGCGTGGATCTAATCGATTGCTCATCCGGTGGTAATGTCAATTATCAACACATTCCGGCGGCCAACCCATTATATCAAGTCCCATTCGCCGAACAAGTGAGAAAGGAAGCAAATATTAAAACTAGCGCAGTCGGAAAAATCACCGAAGCTCATCAAGCAAATGAGATTTTAGAGCGGAAACAAGCTGATTTGGTGGTTATTGGGAGAGCATTTTTGAATAACGCTGGTTGGGTGCAGAAAGCAGCTCAGGAACTTGGTGTTGAGATTGTGTGGCCGATACAATATCATAGACGAGGAAAATATAGATTATGAGCTTAATTAATTATTATCAACTTAGGTGTTGAGAATAGCGTATTTTAAAATTTTTGCTTGCAAAAAATATTTATTTTTATTTTCAATGCTTTTTAACTACATAACAATTGTTACATGTATATTGGCATTAAATCTAGATCTCTTTATATGAAAATTTATTAGAGTGGTGGTAGGATACATTAAGTAGTTGTAATGTTTGTGTTAAATAAAAATAAAAGATGATGGTTAATGAGTATTACCATTCCAATTTTCCTCCTTTACCTTCACCAAAACTTCCATTCATTGAGCCACGATAAAGCTCTTTAATTACTTTTCCCTCAATCACAGTCTTCTCAACAATTGCTTTTGCATGACATGGCAGCACTCGCCCATACCAGATTCCTTGTCCATCTCGATATACGATTAAATTTCCGGCAAATTTATGACCTTGTTGCAGTATAAAATCAAAACCAATAAGAAAGGAAATAACTTTAATTGTATCACGTTAATTACAGTATACATACCGCCAATATGACTAGTCATGAACAAGCCGACACCATCATTAGGACGCGCATCCACATCTAATCCACGTTTTCGCAGCACATTTTCAAATTCTGATTTCAATATTGGCCCAGTTACGCCGCATCGTTTATCACGACGACGATGTGAACAGATTAAGATTATCGCTTTATATGGCATTGATTCAACAGTAAAATCAAATGTGGGTGATGGCGAGGATGAAGATTGCTGTTGTTGTTGTTGCTGCTGTTGTTTTTCATTGTCATTCTCTTTATAATTTGATTTATAGGAGAGAAATCTCTGATGGAAATCCGGTGCATATTTAGAAGGAACGTGACGCACGAGAATATTGTCAGGAAATAAAAGAATGTCATTTCCCTCCGAGAATGGAACATCGTCAGAGTTAAGTCGACTACTATTAGTTATTACAATTCTGGGTGGTTTTTCTTGTGGTTCATCATTATTATCACTGTTCTTTTTATTTTTTTTCTTTTCAGCGTTTTTGATTGCATCATCCAAACAAGCGGCAAAAGACTTTGATTCTTCATCAATATGATCAGGCCAATCAGATTTGCCTGTAGAAATTACTACGTGTCGAAAATAAGGCTTCACGGTGGATTCTAGTGATGACGTTTGATCAATCTTCAAGTATCGCGGATAACTTTCGTGATCCTGGCAAGGAGTTGGGCACACCATACACGAATCATCGGATTCCTTTTGTAAGTCTGATAATGTTATTATTTCATCAGGAGAAGGAGTTGTTAGCTTTGGAATGTCATGTGATAATATTGTTGTTGACTGTAGTATTGATGTAGCTGTAGATGTTGATATTCCCCCTACTGTTTTTGAAGTTGGAATAAATGTCGACAAGAGTTTATTAAGTCTACTCATTATTTGTAATAACGTATTATGATTACTGGTGTATTTTAAAGGATAAATAACTAAGATAAAAAGTCAGTTAATATAGGATAGTAAGTCGAAGAGACCTCAGCAAACAAAAAATGATACGATAATTTTATAGGTTTCTCATGCACACGGAGAAAATACACAAGCCTAATTATCAGATTCTTTTGTGTTAATTAATTACGTAAATACATGTAGTTATCAGATTTTGTACACAAAAATGTTTGATTTACATGAATATGGTATAAGTAAATTCTAGCGTCTCCACAAAATCTGATAATTACTGTAGCACATGCAAAAAAGGAAATTAAATTGTATCACGATTTTTGCGACGAAGTCATAGTGATAAACATAATTATTGATTTGGTGATATTGGCTTCTTCATACTCGGAGATGTTAAATCACATGATGGAATAGGTGCTATCTTAGAAACAAAGAAACGCTGAATAAAAGGGCCTTTAAGTAAATTACAGAATGTGACCTTGTCTCAAAACAAAGTCGATTAAAAATTGGTGTTTTACTCATTTAATAATGTGAAAAATCGTATTTATTTACTTGCAAATAAGATAATGAATTAGATCGTCGTTTATTTTCCTATTTTGAAATCATTCTAGTGTTTAATATCTTCTATAATTGAATATCCTTCGTTTAAAGAATTTCAAAGCCTTTTGAGTTCGAATTTCAAAACAATCTAGCTATGCTTAAAAAAGTTGATGGAAGCTAATATAATTTTGTTTGATATAAAGAATAAAACGTTATAAAGTATATGTATCGGTATATATTTTTGTGTGATGGCCCCGCTCGGACTCGAGCCTGACTTTAGACCGAATCAAAACTCGACTTTTAGAGTCGAGTTGACCAGAACTAACCTTGACCAGATTTTATTCCTATTATCCATCTTCGTTAGAATCCCTCCGCTAAATAATCTTGGAAAAGCAATAAAACATGTGACTATAAGAACATTAAATTTGAGCATTAAGTTATTATCAATAAGAAAACAAATTCTTTTACGAAAATCGAACTGTATTAGTTCTGATTTGTTATTTAAAAATATAAAATTTTAATCGTAAATTTTTGTTAAGTTTTTTTAATTTGATATAAAATTATAAAGAATTGAAAAATTTTATTAGCTACAGCCACTTAACAATAAGAAAATACAGATTTGGATAATCAAAGAGGCATACATAGTTAAATTATATAAAATTTGTGGTCAAGCATATTTAAAATAATTTTGCTTTAATGAATTTATTTCGTGTATAATTAAGTTTTTATAATCACACTTTCGATTTTAGCTATTTTAAATATACATATTAATCTTAATCTTATACAATCATCATTTTCAAATTATATAAAAGTACAATTATATTTACAAGTTCTTTACTATAATAAAAATAAAATTTACAGTGGCAATTATAATTAATGCAACGTTTGAATATTTTACTAAATTTAATTAATAACTGCATGTTTTTCATTACATATAAAAGTTTGAAAAGAATTTATATTAAAATAGAGAATTTATATTTGAGCTAAAAAATATTTATTAGGAAAAATAAAAACTTTTATATTAATAAAAACATGCATTTTACTAATTATAATTAGTAAAAAATTCAAGCATTACATTAATTATAATTGCCATCATAAATAAATTATTTATAAGAGTATAATAGATATTATAGTGGCAACCAAATTAATACATCAGTGCCTAAATTTATTAATAAAACATAGTAAAAAAATTGAAATTTTTTCTTTATATTAAAATTTATGATTTTATTAAGAAATAATTTTTATTTTTATATCAAAATAAAGTTCATCAGTTGTAGTTTAATATATATTTTTTTCAGATTTTTTCTGAAAAAGTTATTTTAATTGTAAAGTTAGTGCAAAAATCTTTACTAATAAAATGAAATTTAATTAATAAAAATTTTTGTACTGACTTTTCAATTAGAATAACTCTTCCAGAAAAAATCTAAAAAATCTGAAAAAATATATATTAAACTATAACTAATGAACTTTATTTTGATATAAAAATAAAAATTATTTCTTAATAAAATTATAAATTTAAATATAGAGAGACAATTTCAATTTTTACTATATTTTATTAATAAATATAGTCTCTAATATATTACTTTTGATCACTATTATAATTTATTAATTAAAGTTCTATGAAAATGCTATATAAAAAATAATTTTAATTATAATTTTCTTTATTATATAATGAAAATTTAAAAAATTTTGAACTTCAATTCAAATTTCTAATAGATATTATTAAGAACATTTAAGTTTTTTATTAATATCTGTATAAATATAATAAATTTTATAGCTTAATATAATAAAATATTTATTTATAATTTATTAAATAAATTTTATTTAAAGTTATAAATTAATATTATTTTTAAATTTTGAAATAAATATTTAAAAAATAATATTAATTATAAATAAATTTAATAAGCTATTTTTAAAATATACTTTAAAATATAAATTAATTAAATTTTATTTTATAATAATTAATAATAATTAATAAAAAATAATCTTTTTTAATTATTTTATTTTATAATTTTTAAGATAAATAAAAAACTAACTAAAATAAATATAAATATTTAAATAATATATAATAAATAAAATTATTAAATTTTCTTTAATATTATAATTTACTATTATTAAATTTATTTATCTTTTTGATATAATAGTTTTATTTAATTAAATAAAGAAAATCAATTTAATTTCATATTAAATTATTAATAAATTTAGTATTAAATATTACTCTTTTGTTAATATTAAAGATTACTTAAAAATATTTTAAAAAATAAATAATATTAAGATATTATATAGTAATATTCAAGTAACTAAATATTTTAGTATTTTATTAATTATAATTAATAAAATATATATATTTTTTTATATAAAAGTTTTTAATTTTATTAATAAATATTTTTTATTTTTAGCTTAAAAAATAATTAAAATTTTCTAGTTTAATATATTTCTTTCAGATTTTGCAAAATTTTTACTGGTAATTATATATATAATAGTAATCAAAAATAATATAATATTTAATTTTTACTAATTATAATTAGTAAAATATATAGTAATAATCAAAAATAATGCAATTCTTAAATTTTTTATTAATTATAATTAGTAAAATACATATTTTTTCTCACATATAAAAGTTTTTAATTTTATTAACAAATATTTTTTATTTTTAGCTCAAAAAATAGCTAAAGTTCTCTAGTTTA